CAGGTGTGTCTGTGGGCTCTGCATGCCCGGCCAGCAGGCCCACTGTTGCAGGGGCAGCTCTGCCCACGCCAGCTCAGCGCCCTCTGGACACCAGGCGCTGGTCATCCCCTTGTCCCGCCACAGCTCTCTGATGCTGACCCACTGCGGGGCATGCCCCGCCTTTCCATGAGTCCCCCACTTGGGGCGCCCAGCTGAGCGCACCATCCGAGGGCACAGCCCAGGACTTCTCTGATGGGTCCTTCCCACAGCCTGGCACCGGGACCGCTCCTCCCCCCGCCTTGCTGCAGGCACTGGCCACGCTCCTGCCCTGCCCTTGCCACTGTGAAAAGGCCAGTCGTTGTAACCAGCCGTGGTGGCCTTTGCCTCTGTAAAGGGAGCAGCTGTTTGTCTCGGCCAGGCATCCTCATTGGCCAGGGAGCAAGGGTGGCGGCCGTGGCAGCGGGCGCTTGGCAGGCACTTGCGAGTGCCACTAGCTGGTGCTCCCGCCCTGCACCCCCCACGTCATGCCTGGAGACCACTGCAGTCTCCCTGCAGACCGAGCCCCGCTTAGCCAGCCCCCCACACCTGGGCTCTGCTGCAAATCGGTGCTCCAGGCAGTCGGCAGAGTGCTCAGGTAACACCTGCCAGCTGGACTCGGGGCCGGGGTGTGGGTAGGCGTCTGTTGACTGTCCCCAGGAGTCCGTCTGGGAGGCAGTGGACTGTGTCTGTGGCCACGCAGCAGGCTGTGCTGGGCAGGTGGGTGGGCTGCCCAGGGAGGGCTGGGATGGCTGGTGCCACCCGGCGCAGAGGCAGCCGGTAGTCCCGGGGCCGGCTTCACGGCTGCCTGTGTGCACTGCCGTGGGGGGCTGAGGTCGGGCTGGAGCTTTGCTGAGCGGATTTTCCTCCTGCTCCTCTGTAGGGGGGGTGTGGCTGAGCGGGTCTGGGTGGAGGCAGCCCCACCAGTGACCATCCCAGCTGCGCTGCATCTTGCCGACACAGGAGCCCACTGGGCGCAGGGCCTTTGCCACCAGCAGGTGTCTGGCCTGTTCTCCCAGCCACGGCTGCTTGTGTCCTGGGCAGGGGCTTCAGCCATCCGAGGCAGGGTGACCGGAGCCTGTCCTTGAGGCCCGGTCCAGAGGAGGGTCCTGGGGCTCCCGGGCTCCTGCTTGTTGCTGTCGGGAAATCCATTTCTGACCTGGGCTGGCACCCCCCGAACCACCCAGGCCGTCTTGGGGGCGTGTGGGAGACCCGGGTGGGGCTGTGGTTCCCGGAGCCTGGGCGCCTCTGTTGGGCGGAGATGGTGCTTGGGCCGGCCGGTGGGAGTCGGGGGCCCTGCCGCAGCCCCCTCAGAATGTGTCATGTTGGAGTTTGCTCCTTCAGCGTGGGAACCTTGCGCTGCCTGTCATCTCAGCGGGTCCTGATTCTGGAAAAGAAAGTGAACAGCTCTTCCTTGCTCGCTCATCACCGCACCCCGTGGGGCTCTTGCTGAGGGTCTCAGGTAGCGTCTCAAGAGGTGGCTGCTGGGTTCTGGGGTGTGTGTGTCTCTGTGCCTCCGACCGTGCCTGGCACCTCCAGCTCTGTGTCGCTGTCAGTGGCGTCGTTGCTGTGTTTTGCGAGAGGGCTTACCGTGAGCAGTGGAGACCAGAGGGCTGACCTGTGGGCCTTTTGGATGGTCCTGCCGGAGGCGAAAGTGTGGGTTTTGGAAACATGTGGCGAGCTGGTACCCACAGGCTCAAAGCAGGAGTAATGGCCAACACAGGTGGCGTGTAGAAGACTGTGCCGGCATGTGCATGTGCACGCATGAGGCCCAGTGCTGGAGCCAGCTCCGTGGAGGGTGAGGAGGCTGGAGTGACTTGTTGAGACGCCTGGGCAGAGCTCCGTGGGGAGGCAGAGGTGGCGGCTCCTGCCCCGGCGACCAAGAGGGTCTCACGGGAAGGTCAGGAGTCAGCCAGGCACCAAAGAAGGAACGGCCTACTTCACGGGGAGAGCTGTGCCCATCAGCATGCCCGAGCGTGGCAGCGCGTGGGTGACCGTGCAGTCAGCGGTGCACCGAGGTGTCTGCAGGGCTTCTGCGCTGTCCTGGCCTCTCCCTTCCAAGTGGGTCCCCTGTGCAGCGGGATGGTGGCTGGAGAAGCTCTGTCTGAGAGTGCTGGCCCATTTCGGGGTGGGCAGTTAAACCCTCCCAGGGGTCCCTCCGCAGCTTCCAGGAGCCAAAGCCACGAGGGTCTTCCTGCCGCTCAGCCTCTCAGGCCCATGATGGAAGTGGGCAGGACCTGGTGGAAACACCCTCCAGGAGGAGTTCTTCATGCGTGTTCAGGCTCCTCCCAGACCGCTTCTGAGAAACGGGTGCCGCACAGCCGGGGGGTTTGAGAGCTGCTCTCCCTGCAGGCTGCCAGGTGGTGGGTGACAGGATGGAGCCTCAGGGCATTTGGGGGCTGCTGGTCACCGGGGTCTCTGCCTGGCGGGTCTTGGGGAAGGCAGCTGCTGGGAGCCTTGACTGCAGGGCTCAGGGCCGCCGAACCAGCACGGACTCCTGCCCTGGCCTCCCGGTGGAGGCAGTTGAGTGGGGCCGCGCTCCTGGAGGCGCAGGCTGTGCTCACACCAGCCCTTCTCTTGTTTCCACCCACATAGCCCCGGGAAGGTTGGGTGTTGGAGCAGCCTTGGGCCTGTCCCTACCCCTCGATGTTGACCGGGGGCAGGAAGCGGCTGGCAGTGGTTTGGGAGGTCACCGCCCGGTTTACTTTTTCTTCTCAAGACCCTGTGCCCTCGAGGGGAGCCTTCCACACGTCCTCGGGTCCCTAGTGGCAGCCCCTCGACCTGCTCTTGCCGACCCCAGACCCTGGCGTCTCCCACCTCCCTCGAGTGCCTCTTGGGCCCGCCTTGTGCCCCTTCCGGGCAGGCGCAGCACAGGGCCAGCAGGGCCAGCCGGACTCTGAGGAGGGGGGGTCCCAGGGCCAGCCCTTCGGGGGGCAGGCCTCAGAATGGGGCGTGCAGCCCTTCTTTCAGCGCCCACACCCGCCCACTGGCGCAGCTGACCCTGGTGCTGTGCTCTGGGGACCACCAGCCCCCGCCCAGCACACGAGGACAGGCCCACGGCACCCCATGCCCGGAGTGCCTCCCTCCTTCTCGGCCATGGGGCGGGGCCAGCCGAAGTGCCGGTGCTGGTGGAGTCGGTGCCTGCGGCGTGGCCTGTGGCGCTGGCTTGTGTCGTCCTTGGCTCTCAGGCTGGGCAGAGGGGACTCGGAGCCCTTCCCCAGCTTCCTGTGCCTGGGGCTGGGCGTCCTCCCATGAGGAGGCCATGTGGCTGGCTGTGGTCATCGGGAGTATGCTGCACCGACCCTCCCGGCCTGTCCACTGCCTCCCCCGACGCTCCTGTTCTGGGAGGCCAGCGGGCACAGCATCACGGGTGCCACTGGCCGGGATGGGGAGTGTGATATTCGGCAGATATTAAAGGGCCAGGGGAGTTGCCAGGCCTGGCGTAAGATGCACGCGTCAGCGGAGGGGCCCAGCTGGTGCCCAGGAGTGGAGCGTGCAGACCCCTGCAGCCGTCCAGGCACCAGGGCAGGAAGAGAGGCGAGGCCAGGGGTCGTGTGGAGACAGTAAGAAGGCGATTCCAGCGGGGCCAGCGCCTGTCCAGTGGCCGGTGCGTGGCAGGTGGGGCCCAGCCTCAGACCCCACCTGTTGGCTAGGGGGGTCACGTGGGGCTCCGCACAGGTGACCACTCTGCTCTGGGAGTCGCAGCAGCCCTGTGGCTGGGCTGAGGCCTGGCGTCCACTCCCTGGCCCTTTGGTGCAGCCTCCGTGCTGCCCATGGCCAAGGCCCTGCTCCCAGCACTCCCTCCACGCCCAGGGTCTGGGCCTTCTGTGCCTGTGGAGTCACAGCCAGCAGGGGGAGGGCCAGGGCAGTTCCCCAGGGCACACAGGCCAGCACTGGGCCCGTGCTGGCCATAGCTCCCTCCAGAGCCTATGTTCCCGGGGAGGGGGCTCAGACTTCGGTCCTCCCGCCGGGCGAGGTCGAGAGTGACTCAAAATGGAGTGTCATGTTCCGAGGTCTCGGGCTCTCTGTCTGAGCTGTCGTGGCCGCTCAGCAGGAGCTGAGCCCAGTGTGTGGCTGGCTCAGGCGGGACGAGGTGTGCGGAGAGCTCAGGTGGGGGCCCGGGGAGAGCCTCCCCTGCAGTGGACGCCCAGGGCACGGCCGGCAGAGGCCAGGGCTGCGGACAGAGCTCGGTGCCATGCCCCATGCGCGGCGGGGACCCCGAGTGCCCGCAGTGTATGGCACATCCGCACCCCAGGACACGAGCCGGGTGCCCCAGGCTCGGTGGGCCCTGCCCCGGCCCTGCCTGGCTCTGGCTGCTCCCGGCGCCACCCTGAGGTCAAGCCCATGTCGCCTTGTAAGGCCGTGATCTGTGAGGAGCTGAGAGGGAGACATGTCTCTGGCATTCAGGGAGCGTTTTTCCTTCCTTTCTCTTAAATAAACTACATACAACTTTTCGAAACAGAAGAAAGGAAAAAAACCAGGGCAGGGGCAGGCTGTTGCGAAGACTTTTTACCCCCACGGCCCCAGCGTGGCCTCCCCAGGCCAGGGGAGGAGAGGGACCCACAGAGCTACAGGCCAGACCGCTTCCTGGCGCCCTGGAGCCTGGCTGGCCTCACCACCTTACATCCTCCTCAGGCAGCCAGGAAGGCAGTTGCCCAGCATGCCCCGGCGTGAGGCCTGCGCTGCGTCTTCCCTGGGGCAGCCTTGGAGGCTGGGGGCTGGGCCGAGGGCCCCAGTTGCTCCCTCCCCAGCCTCCCTGGCTTGGAGAAGGCCAGCTGGGGGGCGGCCTCGATGCAGACAGGCCGTGGCATCCAGGGAAGGTGCTGTTCAGGGCGGCTCCCGCCGGGCACTCACTGGGGCAGAGCCTCAGCCTTGGTGCCCGCTGGGCTTGGCCGGGCCCCCTCCGCACCCACATTTGCAGTGAGTGGTCTGGGTCTGGCCAGCCGGGTGGTGACCACGCCGTCTCTCCCCTTCGCTCTCGGCAGGAAGTCGAAGGCGAAGCCCAACGGCAAGAAGCCGGCGGTGGAGGAGAAGAAGATGTACCTGGAGCCGGAGCACACCAAGTCCAGGATCACCGACTTTGAGTTCAAGGAGCTGGTGGTGCTGCCCCGGGAGATCGACCTCAACGAGTGGCTGGCCAGCAACAGTGCGTGGGCCGGGGGCACGTGGGGCCGCAGAGGCACAGCGCAGGCTGTCCCCCTTCCCCGTGGGCCCTGTCTCGGAGGACCCCCAGAGCTGGTGCCCAGCAGTGCTGCCTGCCATCCAGGGCCCAGCACAGACCGCAGCTCCCCAGCCGAGCCCCTGTGCTCTGGCTGGAAGTAGGGGGGACGGGTGGCCCAGCCTGGTGGCCTTCACAGCTGTCCTTCTCTTCTCTTCCAGCAACGACGTTTTTCCACCATATCAACCTGCAATATAGCACAATCTCTGAGTTTTGCACAGGAGAGACGTGTCAGACGATGGCTGTGTGCAACACGTGAGTGGCCACCTGGCGACGGCTGGTCCTCTGGGGAGGCTGGGTGGGCTGCGCGGCTCCTGTCCTCCCGCTCCCTCCTCACCCGGAGGCCTTGAGAAGTCTTGGGACAGGTTTGCTCCCAGCGTCCTCCTGCCCCTGAGGGGCGATGGGCTAGCCACGCAGGTCCCTGCGGGGCACAGGAGGTGCAGGAGCCGGTGGGGCTGATGGGCTATTTGTCCAGGGCAGGGACGTCTCCAAAGGGAAGGCCAAAATCTGGCCTCCTGAGACCATGGAGCCTGTGCCGCAGAACGCACTTCCGCGCTGGCTCCCTGTGAACCTCCTGTGGGCCCAAGGGCTGGGCTGAGCAGGCCGCCAGCTCCCCTCTGCCCCCGCTCACTTTGTGGAGCCCGGGGTGCCTTCTCTGCGAGCCCCTGCAGGCCTGGTGCTGCTGACTCTCTTCTGGAAGTGCGCGTCTGCTCCCTTGGTGCGCGGGCGTCTCTGAGCAGCTCCCAGGAGCCGTGCGGCACAGGCTTGCCGCCAGCTCTGTGCTGGGTTGGAGGTGACCATGGAGGCCGCGGGCGGGGGCTGACTGCTGGGGCTCAGCTGGGTGGTGCAGCCGCAGAGGGTCGAAGTCCCTTCCCGATGTCTCCTGGTTGTCAGGACGCTGCTGCCGAGAGGCAGACACCCGCGCTTGTGGACGCAGCTCTGAGTGCTGGCGTTGAGGCTCCCGGCCCAGGGAGAGGTGGTCCCCAGACAGCTGAGCTTGGCTCTCAAGAACTCACCCGGCCTCCGCACAGGCAGGTGGCAGTTGTCCCCTCGGCTCCAGCCCTGTGAAGCCCCCCGGTGTGGCCCAGCTTGGTTCTGGGTGACGTGGGGGCAAGTGCAGACGGCAGCCGGCTCTCCACTCCCGATTCCCCAGGAAAGTTGGCTGTCACAGCCAGGCACAGCCCAGGGAGGATGGAGACGAGGACGGCCTGCGTGGGCCCAGGGGCAGGCTGGACCTGGGGCGGGATGGTCTCTGTGGAGCAGACGTGGGGCAGATCCCGAGGCGGCAGGGGCAGTGCCCGAGGGCCGCGCACCAGCAGGGCTCAGGAGGACGCTCGCCGGCCATGGACTGGGGTGGGGCCGCGCTCTCCCCAGCCGCTCTGCCCCTGCACTGCTGTGTTTGTCCAAGAAAGGGTTTCTTGATAGAGCCTGGGGTTCGGTGGTCAGCAGACCTGCGTCTGGACGTTCGCCGTGCCACGTGTCCCTTGGAGAGCTGGGGCCGCCTCCCCGCAGCTCTCGGGTCTTCTCTGGCACCTTCCTCGCGGGGTGGTTGTAGATGTCTGAGAACTGACACGGTGTCAAATGCCTCCCTGGGCGTCGTCTGAGGTCGACGGTTAGAAACTCACTCACACTAGCTTAAGAGGACAGGGGCTTCTCAGGGGGCCTCAGAGCCACTTGCTGTCCCCAGACCAGCAGGTCTGCTGGCACGTTGCTACCAGAAAGGCTAACGCTGGAGTCCGGGGGGAGGAGCAAGTGCAGCGCCAAGCACATCTGCAGTTGCGGCGCAGAGCCCCCCTCCCAGAGACACAGACCTGCAGATTCAAGACGCCGACCCCACCCTGTGTCAGACTAACCCGAAGAAACGCGTGTGCAGGGGTGGGACAGCCGCACTGCTGCACGCCAGGGGCGAAGGTGCGTGGCCCTTACAGACGCTGGCTCGCGTGGCCAAGGTTCTCACTGGAAATCTGGAGCCAGAAGGAAGCCGCGTGTGTTTGAAGTGCTGAAAGAAAGGATTGGTCACCCCAGAATTCCATGTTCCAGGAAAATGTCCTTTAGGAAGGAAGGTGAGCCTCACAGTCAGCAGACCTACTCTGAGTCCTCAGACAAAGGCCCTTGCTTCGTCCTGAGGGCCACAGAGATGGAGTAGCATCTGCTGTTCTTCTCACGCATCGCTGAAGACACGTTTGACGGCTGCCAGCGGCTGCGAGGCCCTTGTCCGAGGGCGTGCAGGTGGAGGTCACGGGACAGCAGCCGTGCCTGTGTTCAGCCCAGTGCACCGTGGGGCTTCTCAGCACAGTGTGGAAGTTAGGTGTGTGTTCACGGTGCTTTGAGCAGCCTCTGAAAAGTTGTGTAAAGAGATACTCAAAATCATAATAGATAAAAGGGATACTAAAAATTTAAGTAGCCTGCAGGAAAGAGGAAACAGTACAAGGAATGAAGCCAGAAAACAAGGACGGCAACCATGCGTGCAGAGAGAGCCGCACGTGTGAGCGGCACGGACGGGCCACGTGCGAGACAGTCTGTGAGGATGACTTTCAGCAGGCGCCGGTGGCGTGGCATCTGTGGGGCTCGGTCTGTCTGGGGGCTGCTGTAGAACGGCCGTGGCCTGGGTGGCTTGCAAGCTACGGGGTTTTATTTCCCAGAGCTCTGGAGACCGCGCAGCCAGATCCAGCGTCTGGCGAGGGCCACTTCCTGGGTCACAGACGGCGTCTTCTCACCGGGTCCTCACAGGTGGGAGGGGCGGGGGTCTCTCTGGGGCCTCCTTCATGAGGGTGCTGATCCCTCATGATGTTCCGCCATGACGGCATCACCTCTGCAAGGCCCCGCCTCTGAACACCGTCGCCGGGGGAGCAAGGCTGCGACGCAGTGATCTGGGGACACAGACGTCCTTGTGTGGCGGCACTGTAAACGCAGCGGTGCGGGTGGGTTGCAGTGAGGGTGGAGGCAGGCAGCCCCAGGAGACACCGTGAGAGTTGGGTGCGGCTGCGGTTGTGCCAAATGAGCAAGGAAAGCGACCAGGGGTGAAAGGGTCACGTGTTTACAGAGGGCTCAGTGACCAAGAAGGAACGCTGACCCTGCACGTGCGTGTGCCGAGCAACAGAGCTCTCCGCACAGAGCAGACCGACAACCACGAGGGAAAGGATCCCACGATAGCTGCAGAGTTTGACATCCCCACCGCGACGGGTAGACCCCGGTGGACAGAAAGGCAGCAGGAACACACAGCCGACGTCACCTCGCCCAGCCACACCCAGCCTGCACCGCAGACGCCCGTCTTTCCAGGTTCGTGAGGAACGTCCCCCAAAATAAATAACATCCACACCCAGAGCCCTTAAAAAACTTTAAAGAGTCGAAATCATACGAGTTGTCTGACTGTAATGCCGTTAAACCGGCAGTCAGTCACAGAAAGGTAACGGGCACTTTCAAACACTTGAAAACTACACACTTCTAAATCCATGGGTCGGAGAGGACGTCTCAAGGGAAATGAGAAACTGCTTTAAACTGTATGTGAATGAAAATACAGCATCTCAGAGTCTGTGGGACACAGCAGCAGCAGTGCTTAGAGGGGGACTTATAGGATTCGATGCTTATTTTAGAAAAAGAATATCTCAACTCAATAATCCAAGCTTCAATCATAAGAAACTAGAAAAAGAGCAGAATAAACCCAAATCAAGCAGAAGGAGGGAAATAATAAGAGCAGCAGTCACTAAAACTGATTTCTGAAAACAATAGGGGAAATCAAGGAAACCAAAATATCATTACTCGAAAAGATCAACAAATTGACAAACCTTTATTTTAGCAGGGAGTAAAGAGAGAAGAGACAGATTGTCAGTAAGGGGAGAATCACTGTAAACCCACGGATGTTAGAAGGATAATGAGGAGGCGTTGCAAAAACCCCTGTGTGCACATAAATTCTACAGCTTAGGTTAAATGGACCAGTTCCTTTAAAACACAAAATACCAAATCTCAGCCAAGGCAGGCAACGCGACAGGGCAAGAGAAAGGATAACCTGCGTCCACATTGGAAAGAAGTGTCTTTCCTTATCCTCGGTTTCAGTCACCCGAGGTCACCCATGGTCTGAAAACGCTAAATGGAAAATTTCAGAAATAAATACTCCGCATGATTCAAAGTGCACGCCGTTCTGAGCAGCGTGTGAGGCTGTCGGCTGCGTCCCACCCGGGCGGCGTCCTCTCGTTGGCCACTTCCCAGCCTCTGGGTGTTGGGTCCCCACCCCAGGTCGCGATGCGCATGTTCACACCACCCCCACGGGACTCACGACGGCCCCAAGTGCACGAGGGGTGGCGCTGGCAATTTGGGGACGCTGAGGAGAAGCTGTCAAGCGCTTCCTTTAAAAAGGTGAAAGTTCTCAATAAGGAAAGAGAAAAGTTCTGTGCTGAGGTTGCCCAGATGTACAGTAGGAACGAACCTCCTCATCGTGGAGCTGTGAAGAGGGAGGAAGGAATTCTTACAAGCTTTGGTGTCACCTCAGGCTGCAAAAGTCACAGCCACAGTGCATCAGAGTGCTTGGTTAAGATGGAAAAGGTATTAAATTTGTGAGTGGAAGACGCTCAGAGACATGTTCTGGTTGGCGGCAGCGTGTTGAGCCAGAAACCGTTGAGCCTGTGCCCAGACTCCAGCAGGACCCCGCGGGGAGGGACAGCAGCGTGCACGGTCAGCAGCTGCCCTGTCCATCGTCATCAATCTCCTGCTTACGCTGCCTTTTCAGCCTTATCACAGGTGTGTTTAGGAAATCACGTGGTGTGCAGGGCTCGGTGCCGTCTGGTTTCGGGCACCCACCGGAAGACTTGCAGCGTAGCCCCGTGGATAAGGAGGGGCTGCTGTGTCCCTGTCTGCACGTGAGTTGAAAACCTCAAGAATTCTAGCAGAAAAAATAATAATAAATTTAGCAAGGTTAACACACAGAAATCAATCGTAGTTCTGTATGCTAGCAACGTATGATTGGAAACTGAAATTGGTTTTAAAAATACCGTTTACAATAATTCCAAGAGCAGCGAGATGCTTGGGTGTAAACTTACAACAATCACAAGATCTGTACCCTGGAAACTACAAAATGCTGGTGCAGGAAATCAAAGATCTGCATAAATGGAGAGACGTGGTCGTCAGCTGGAAGCCTCGACATACTGAAAATACGAATCTTCCCCAGATCAATGTATGTTCAATGCAATCCCAATCAAAATCCCAGCAGAGTTTTTGAGGACATAGACCAGCTAATTCTAAAATTTAAAAAGGGCAAAGTAACTGTAATAGCTACAACAATTTCAAAAACAGACAAGTTGGAGGAATCCCACAATTTTAAGAGTCACTTTAGAACTACAGTAATTAAGAGAGTTGATGTTGGCGAAGGAACGACATGTAGGTCAGTGGAACGACGCAGAGTCCAGAGAGCCCCAGACGTGGCCCTGGGAGTTCGGACACACACTGCAGAAGCTGTTCAGCGGGGAAAGGGTGGTCTTTTAACAGGTGCAGCTGGGACACTGGCCATCCATGTGCACACTGAGGACAAGGCTCCGGCTGCACCTCGCGTCTCGGGCAGAAGGTGTGAGACACTCACGCTTGGAGGACGCACGGGAGGAGTCCCCCGGACGCGGTGTCGGGCACAGCGCTTGCACTTCACGGCAGAGGCGCCGTCCATTGATGGAAAAGAGTCCTGAGGTTGGACTTCACCCCAGCGTAGAACTTGTGCTCTGAGAAAGGCACTTTTAAGGAAACACAAGCTGCAGGCTTCGAGGGAAAGTATCTTCAATCACAGACCCCACAGACGAGCATCGGAGTGTGCGAAGAGCTCTCACGGCTCATCAGTGAGAAAACAAACAGCCCAGCTGAGCGTGGGCAGAGGATATGACCAGCTCAGCGGAGAGGTCGGTGTGTGAGCGTGTGAGAGGATGCCCTGCAGCCGCGGCCCCAACCCCAGCCCAGGACTGGCACCAAGAGCTGCAGAGTCCGCCTCCGCCACCCCCTACCCGCTGGTGGAACAGGCCACACAGCAGGCGGTGAGCGCCCACTGCTGCCACTCCCACCGTGGTGCTTGCATCACCACCTGAGCTCCGCCTCCCCCAACCCCCCACCTCGTGGAAAACCTGTCTTCCATGAAACCAGTCTCTGGTGCCAAAAAGGCTGGGGCCCACTGCTCTGCAGCATTAGCAAGTAGAGAAATGCAGAGTCGGCCGTGAGGTGTGCGGTACCTGCTGGCACACCTGTTGGAAGCCAGGTGTGGCGAGGCTGTGGGCGGGGCAGCAGTTGGGGGGTTTTTGGGAAGCGAAGCCCACAGCTGCTGCAGGACCCTGTGACCTGCTCCTGGCGTCTGCCTGAGAGAGGTCAAAGCTCGTGTCTACACAGGACGCTGCACGCCGCGGCCCCTCGGTACAGGGTCTCAGCAGTGCAAGCTGTGGACACCCCGCAGCGTGGCTGGATCCCAGCGGCCTGGTGCTGAGTGAGAGGAGGAGCCGTGTGACTCTTCACGTGGGGTCTGTTCCTGACGACACCCCGGCGTGCCAGGGAGCAGTTGGCACGGCTGAGGGCCACGCGAGTTACCCTGTGCTGACGGTGGCCGTGGTGTGACCAGTCTGTGCCTGCCGTACAGTTCGCGCAGCTCGGTAGCACAGACGTGCAGTGCTGCTGTGTGATGAAAACAGGAAAGAGCTCAGAGGCTCTGTCTGTCGGCAGACAGGACGGTCAACGGTGTGCCTTATTGCTGTTCTTTTAAAATGTTTTGATGAAAGGGGGGAATGAGATGGGGGGTTCGTTTCCTTTTCTTTTTCTTTGGTACAGGTACAGTGCGGTGGCGTCATCACAGCTCACTGCAACCTCAAACTCCTGGGCTCAGGCGATCCTCCCGCGTCAGCTTCCTGGAGTGCCAGGGTCACAGGCGGGAGCCACTGTGCCCAGCCAGCTGGTGTTCTCTCTGGGACTTAAATTGAGGAAGTGTTTCGGTTTTTAAGCCCAGCCATTTCCCCTAATATGTCACACACCTGGGGACCCACAGGGTAGCTGGCGAGGGAAGGTGTGTCGGTCCCACATGCGGTTCCCGTGGGGCAGATGCCGTGAGGGTCTGACACGGCCCAGCGCCGTGGGAAGGCCCCTCCCGGGCCGCAGCCCTGGGCAGGTGTCGGCACAGGTCGGCAGTGTTACTGTACGGACGCGGTGCCCCTCCCCTCGCGCCAGCCCTCACGTGTCGTGCTTTCCCACCTGGAGCCGTCCTCAGCGCCTGCGGGCACACTCCGCATATCCGGTTTGTATTTTCTTCCCGAGGGGGGGTGCTGGGTGGGGGCTGCGCCGTGCACCTGGTGTATGGGGCTGGGGTGCCCTCGCCACTGTGGCCTCTCCCTAGCTCTGGTGACTCCCTGGAACCCAGGGTGCACGGCGGAGGGGCTTGCAGGCTGAAGCAGAGTGGTGCCCTCAGAGCCCCCTTCCCCGATGGTGGGCGATGTCGGGTCTCTGTGGAGGGAGGCCCCGGGCATGCCGGCGAACCTCCTCTGAAGATCCCAGCACCCAGGCCCTCCTGCTCCCACTGCCCGTCAGCCCAGCCGGCAAAAAGGGGCCTGCTGTCCTGATGCTGGGCCTGGGGGCAGGTGGGGCCCGAGTCCTGCTGGAAGGGTGGACCCTAGCTGTGCCAGCTCTCAGGGCATCTCCCCGTGGCGCTGGGTGAGCTCCACAACCCAGGCGTGGTGCTCACAGGCAGCCTCGGGGACCCCATCCTGGTCGGCACCCCTGCCCGGGGCCTGGTGAGGAGGGCAAGGGGGTGCTGGGCAGGGGAGGGTCTCTGGGGGGCCAGGCCAGGCACTGTTCCTGGCAGAGCCCACTGCGTCTTGCCAGGTTCCCGGGTGCAAATACTCCCCCACAGCTCGCCAGACCCACCTGTGTTGGGGGTGCGGGATCGGCCCACCCGGGGCTGCCTTGCTGACCGCCCCGCCCCACAGGCAGTACCACTGGTACGATGAGCGGGGCAAGAAGGTGAAGTGCACGGCACCGCAGTACGTCGACTTCGTCATGAGCTCCGTGCAGAAGCTGGTGACAGACGAGGACGTGTTCCCCACCAAGTATGGTGCGTGCTCCGGCGCACTGTGGGCCAGTCATCCCGGGTGGCGGGAGAGCCAGCCTGGGTGGAGGGCGTTCCCCGTACTCTGGGCCCCTCCTGGTCCCCACCTCCCACCTTGTGCACAGCGGTGGGCCAGCAGGTGGCGCCCGTGCACCCCAGCCCCTCCTCCTCCTCCTCCTCCTCCTCCTCCTCAGCCCCAGCTCTGCAGACAGCCCTGCCGTCCTGCAGGAACACGGGGTCCCCAGGCCCAGCCGCGGGCCCCAGGCCCAGCCGCGGGCCCCTGGGTGTGGAGGTGGCCGGTGCTGTGTCGGAGCACCTGGCCCTCGGGCAGCTGCGGCCCCCGAGGCCGAGCCCAGGGTGGGGGGCAGGTCACTGGAGGACCTGCTGGCGGGCGGAGGCCCTGGGGGAGCGGGCGGCAGGTGCGTGGGGCGGGTGGTGTCCGCGGGCCTGTGACGCTGCTGCCCCCCCAGGCAGAGAATTCCCCAGCTCGTTCGAGTCCCTGGTGAAGAAGATCTGCAAGTACCTGTTCCACGTGCTGGGCCACATCTACTGGTCCCACTTCAAGGAGACGCTGGCCCTGGAGCTGCACGGACACTTGAACACGCTGTACGCACACTTCATCCTCTTCGCCAGGGAGTTCGGCCTGCTCGACCCCAAGGAGACCGCCGTGCTGGACGACCTCACCGAGGTGCTGTGCGGGGGCGGGGCCGGCGGGGGCCCAGGGGCACAGAACCACGTGAAGGAGAGGTGAGCCCCCGGACACAGGTGCTCATGTGCAAAGAGACAGTTGCGTGTTCTCTCCATGCGTCTGCGTGTGTGCGCACACGTGCCTGGGCACGCTCGCCGGCGAGGTGGAGAGGGGCCCGGCGGCGTCGAGTGTGGGCCCCTGGGCCGTGCCGGGGCCGCGCCGTGTTGCACAGCTTCCCTGTTGGGGGGTGGGTGCCGTCTGTGGAGAAGACCGTGGATCCACCCATCCGTTCAACAGACACTTTCTGGACTGACGTCTTGAGTTTCTCCTCTGTGGGGTTTTCCTTTCTTTGGTCTTCCAGGCGGCCTCTGCCCTCCTGGGGCTGTGCGGGTGGGAAGGGCCCCGGGAGGTGGGTCTCCTGAGGGGCTTGCTTCGCAGCCTGGGCTGCTGCTCTGTTTTGCGGGTGGGGCTGCTCCCACAGACCCCTCCGCGCCTCTCGCCCCCTCCCGCCTCGGCAGGTCTCGGCTGTGGGTGGCTCAGCTGTGGGAGGCCCGGGCTGGCCCGCGAGGGTGCGCCTGCTCCCGGCACCCCAGTCGGCAGGCAGGTGCGGGATGGGGCTGCGAGGAGATGCGGCCGTCAGCAGAATCCGCTTACTTTAGTTCATCTGTTCACGCGTAATAAAGAGAATTCTCTCAGGTCAGAGCCTCGTGTGCGTCCTCTGCGTCTCCGAGGCCCCCTGACGCCGAGGGCCTGAGGTCGGGGGCCTGGCTGCTCCCTCCGGCGGTGGCCCTGGGGCAGGTGTCCAGCAGGGGCCAGCGGTGCCCCTCACCACAGGGTGCTGGGGGTCGCAGTGTCACCCGTCCCCTTCCCCCGGCAGGTGGCGGGACCCTGGGCTGTGGCTGCAGTTGTCGGGGGTTGGGGGGCACCCTCGGAAGGGCTCTGGGCCAGCCAGGCACGGGGCCTGCCGCAGGGGCCACTGCTGGCTGGCAGCGTGGCTGGTGAGGAAATGAGGGGGCCCTGGCTGAACCCGGGAGCTTGTCCGGGACCGCGGTCGGCTGAGAGGAGGGGGGCTCTGGTGAGGGTGAGGCCTGGCACTGTGCCATGACCGGGTGGCCTCTGCTGCTGCTGCGTCTCCGTGCCCTCCCAGCCCTCCTGTGGCCCTTCACCATCACCAGCTCTGGGCCAGCTGGGGTCAGAGGCCCCTCCCCTGCTGTGTCTCTCCCTCCCCTCCCCTGGACATCCAAGTGCACCCCGAGGTTTTCACGGCCTGGCCCTGCCGCCCTGACGAGGGTCCATGTGGTCACTTTGATCTGGGCTGTGTCTGGAGCCGGTCCCTGGGGACACAGGCCCCCCAGCTCATGTGCTGCCCCGACACTTCTCCTCTGTGCGTGGAAAGGACACCTGCAGGACTTGACCACAGGGGCAGGGCGTGGGAGCCTGGGGCACCGAGGGGACCTCCGGGGGAGGCAGCAGGGCCAGGTGGAGGTGAGCATGCAGCCTGGTGGCACTGTCCTCCCTGGCTAGGGGTGGGTGGGGAGCAGGCAGGACACGGCCTGGGCCTGTGTGTTGGAGGTGTGGCCTGGCTGCCCGGCAGAGGCCAGTGGGGGAGGCAGGGCGCAGCGGGGAGCAGCTGGGCTTGGTGGCTGATGGGCTGGTGGTGCCAGGAGGGCATGGAGGTTTCCAGCGGAGCTGCTGGATGGGGCTGGGCAAAGTGCGAGGAGGGACACATCTCCACGCGGAGCCCAGACGTCCTGGGGAGGCGTCCCGGGCGCTTTTGGTCACACTGGCCTCACACTCAGGAAGAAGCTGCGGGGTCCCCAGGGCAGAGCACGGGTCGTGAAGCCCGTGGACGTCCTCGGGCGGGACTCCTGCTGGGCTGTGAGCGGGTGGGCCGGCCATGGCCGCCGAGGGTGAGAGGGCAGTGCCCTGTGCTCTGCTGCCCGGCGCTCCTCGCTGCCAGACCTGGGGCTTGGGGAAGCCTTCCTGCCTCAGTGTCTCTGCCTGTGCGGGGGTGGCGGGGCAGCCCCTGGGTTCTGCCTGCGGCGAAGCCACAGCGATTGCTGGGAGGGCTCAGCTCAGGGGACAGTCGCCGCCCTGCCCCCGACAGTTGCTCGCCGCGCGGCCTCAGCCTGCCCAGTTTCGCTGTTTGCCTTCCGTCAGGCAGAACAGTGGTCCCCGGAGGTATCCAGGTCCTAATCCCTAGAACCTGGGAGCAGGTGACCCTCTGCAGCCAGGGGAATGAGGTTCCTCATCCCCTGACTTGGCACGAGGCGCCGAGCTGGGCTTGTTGGGGCGGCCGGTGTCGGAAGGGTCCTCACGTGTGGGCGGGGCCTCCTCGGTGTGGACATAGGAGGCCACAGGTCGAGCGATGCAGGCAGCTTCCGGGGGCTTGAAAAGGAAGGAAACAGATCCTCCCCCCGAACTTCTGGAAAGAACCGGCCCGCTCATTGTGAAGCCCGTTTTGCCCGGGGAGATGCACGTTGGATTCCTGACTTCAGAGCTGTGAGGTAACAGGTTGTCTTGTCTCAGGCCGGCGTGTGTGTGGTGACCACAGTGCAGACCTGGTCCGGGAGTGAGCGCTGCTCACACAGGCTTGAGACGGGGACGTGGCCTTGGAACTGGGCAGGGGCAGGGGCTGGGAGAAGCGTGGCCGTCAGCGCGGGCTCAGGAGGGGATGACGAGCGCAGCCCAGGAAACCGCACTCGCCGAGGGAGGACACGGAATTGCGTGACAGTGTAGGGGGGAGGGGCGTCCAGGTGCCTGCAGACACTGGAGACAGTGAGGGCGGCCTGTGACGTGGGGGCAGAACGCGTAGCTGGGCTCTGTCCTCGCGCTTCGTGTGGAAAGCAGGACCTGCGCGCCACCAGCCGGGGCTCTGCCCCAGGAGATTCCGAGTAAAGAGCTGAAGCCGCGGCTTGGTTTCCCGTCACGCGTGTAGCAGCGCGTGGGGGGAAGAACCGTTTGGCAAAAGGGAACTAGTGCTGGATGGTTTGGGCAAAGTCCACGTCTCATCCGTGGACCTGCCAGTGTGTTGCCACACAGCAAAGGAGTGACGGCACCAGCTGGCTCTGAGGCGAGGAGATTATCTAGGCCCCTGTGATCTCAAGTCCTTAAATGCGGACCAGGGGGATCCAGGGCCCCGGCCGCGAGCCGAGGGACGGGGGCACCTCTGGGAGCTGGAAACGGCAGGGAAGTGGACCCTGCCCAGAGCCCCCAGAGGGAACAGCCCCCGCCGACACCTTAGTTTTAGGTCAGTGAGACCTACCTAGTTTTGACTCCAGAACTGTAAGATAAGAAATTTGTGTTTAAGCTACTGAGCTGGTGGTGAGCTGCCGGCGTCGGCTCCTGCCGGTGAGGGAGGGTCGGAACTGTCTGTGGCCGGCAGCGATCACATGCTTGCTGAATCGTGGCAGCCAAGTTTCTTCCCTGAGCCTGGTTTTTAAGCTAAAATTAACTGGTGAACTCTGCAGTCCAGTGATTGGACAGAACCTCAGCCCCGGGCCTCAAGTGCCGCCTCCTCTGGGCACCCGTCCCTAGAGGGCCCTGGCGGGGCAGACGGGGACGACCCCAGTTCCCCTCAGACCTTTCACGCCTGGGGCTTTAAGCCTGAGCCGGTGGCACCTGCCGCTCTGCAGAGCCTCGCGCTCACACGCCGGACTAGCTGGAGCGCGCACGGCCGCCTCCGTGGAGGCCCGGACTCCAGGGCGGCGGTCCTCCCCCAGGGGTGCCTCTGCCCCCAGGAGGCTCATGGCAACGTCTGGTGACGTTTTTGGTTATCTCAAGGGCGTGGGGGACAGCTACTGGCATCTGGTGGCAGAGACACCTGCAGCTCACAGGCCCCTCCCGGAGAGCCTCCCGGCCCCCGGCGTCAGCGTGCTGCGGGGAAGGCGCCGCCGTAGACAGCTGGTGCGGTCAGGCCCTGCCGGTGGCTACAGGGCCACCTGTGCCAGCGTTGCCCACACACGGGCAGTGTGCGTGTGAGAGGCTGGGGGTTAGCTCTCTGGTCTCCGCCTGTCCTCTAGCTGGGTGGGCTTCCAGGCGCTGCCCTTGGAACGTGGGGCTGGGAGCTCTGTGGCTCGGGGGCTTGGACCCATCCTTTGCATTGCAGCCGAGGGGGTGGTCCTGGGGCCCCGGCCTGGCCACCCTCTGTGTTGGGCGTGTGAGGACTGTTCCCCTCTGTGCCCATCAGCTGGGCCCCTGGCTGCCAAGGTGGGTCATGGTGCCCCCCCACGCCCCAGACTCTTGCCAAGCAGCTTGCGGGAAAGAGGTTTGTTCTCCAAAAGCCCAGGCACTGGGGGGACCCTGTGCCAGTCTGATGAGGTGAGGACGGTGCTGCTTCCCAGCCCCTGCCCCAAATGAGGTCCCGACACATCGCAAGTGGCAACGGCTCCGGCTGCGTGGCCCCCGCACAGGGCTCTGTTCTGCCCGCTGGGCAGCGGCAACACCAGCTGTACCTGGCAGGGCCCAGGGGCCCCGTCGGGGACAGGCCCGTCACGAGCTGCCCCAGACCTTCCCCCTCCCCGCCCGGAGGAAGACCTGGCGTCGGGTGTCTTTACGGAAGGAATTTATTGTTCCGGAACCGAAGTTGCTCACAGTTACTGACAGGAGTACACTCGGTGGGGCTGCCCATTTCCGTGACGGCCGCGTGAGTCCGCGCGTGTCCGAAGTACAAAAGAGGAAGGCTCGCGAGAGGTATTGCTGTCGGTGTCCTCCGTCTCCGTGGATGAGCCCTGCCCGCTCGCACTGTGTGGCTTTTGCTGTTACAGGTGTTTGTTTTGTCTCACGTATAGAAACCCCGGCTGGGGTGGTTTAATGTTAACAGAAGCGTTAAAATCTATACACGGGGGACACCCAAGCGAAGGACGGGTCACAGCAAGGCATGCATCACCCCTGCGCCTGCGCCGCCCGCCTGCGGCTGCACCAGGGGCGGCTCATGGCCAGCGGGAGGGGCCCGGCCGCCCCGACAGAAGGGGACGTGGATGGGAGCGGAGATGGGGGCGGAGCGCGTGGGCCTGCCCGGCGGGCAGCCGACGTGGGCAGCGGGCCGCGGCCTCACCCCGCTCTGTACAGGAGGAACACGCCGCAGTCACGCCGCCCACTCTTTTGTTGGTTTGTTTTTTTTTTTTCAACTTTTTTCCATTTTAATAAAAAAAGCCCCACGGTGCACCTGCCGTCCTGTGTGGGGCCGGCTCTGCGCCTCCTGCCCTTCACTCACGGACACGAGCCCGCCCCAGCCTGGGTCTGGACGGGGGCCGGGCAGCGCCGTCCACTGCGCGACGGCCCCCACGGAACTGGAGCCGCTTCCCCACGGCAACAAACAGCCCGGACAGAGCTCCCCGCGCCGTTCTTTAAATATATATGTGTGTGTGTAGAAATACCAAGAGCGGGAACTGGAACACAAAGGCCCTGCCCAGCAGCCCCCCACCCCCACACCCTTTCCAAAAACAACCGAGAAAAAAAGTTTATAAAAATATCTTGCAGGAATTCTTTAAAGTTTACAGTAGCTTGCTGGCGCTGCGTCCACCGCTGCCCCTGCGCCCCCTCAAGTCCTCAGAGGGCGCCGGGCCCCTCCCTGCCGGAGACGCATGGCGGGGCGGCCCTCCCTGAACAGAGACGTGAGGAGACTCGGCAAAGTGAAACAGCGGACACGTGACGCTGCCCTTGGCCCAGCCGGGACCCGCATCTCCGTTTCCATAGGAACGGCGGCGCGCACGCGCCCGTGGCCCCCAGGTGAGGTGCAGGACGTGGGTGCGAGGGGACGGCGGGGCGGCGAGGCTGCAGACGAGGCGGCACCAGGAGCTGGGGCGTCGGGGCAGCGGGCCGGGCGGGGCTGTTCCTGCTGCTTCAGGCCCGGGCCCTGCCCTGGAGGCGGCTTCCCCTCTTAGCCGGGGCCGCCTCCTGCGGCCACGCGGGGCTGAGGACGTGGCGGTGGATGGGCCTCGCTGCCTGGCAGCAGGAGGAGCGGAGGGAGGGCAGGTCCGCGCAGCTGCCTTCGGTCAGCCAGCGTCCGGCGCAGAGCACAGAGGACGGCCTCGTGGAGGTGACATGTTAGCTTTTCGGGATAATTCCTGGTATCAAGAGTGGAAACAAGTGACGCTGTCAGAGACAGGCAGAGACAGAGACCGCGAGAGAGAAAGAGCGAGCGCGTGGCCCAGCCCGTAGGCCGCGGCCCGCCGTGCCCTTCCTTCCTCCCTGGCTCCGGAACCAAGGTCCAGAAGCGGGTGTGGGTGGCCGCTGTCAGTGCTGTGCTGTGGGAGGGGCTAGTGTGTCTAAGGCTGCTCGTGGCGGGCGGCGGGCGGCCCCATCTTGGCCACGTCCTTGCCCGCCGGGTACTCGGCGTCCCCTCCAGGGCCAGGGCCAGCGGCCGCGGAGTCACCGAGTGGGCCATGGGTGCTCCGCTTGGCGGGCGTGCTGGGGGCCTGGGCCGCCTGCCCGTTCTTCTCGTCTGAAAAAAGTTGTTTAATTACGTCAAAGAAGTTACTCAATGGGCTGCCTGGGTACACAGAACAGAGACAAAAAAAGAGAAAAGGAAAGGAAAGAGGAAGGGAGGGAAGGAGAGAGAAAGAGAACAAACAAACAAATGAACGAAGGGGCCTCCACAGAGAAAGGAAAACCCAGCGAGATGGGGCTGAGATGGGCGCGGAGCAGGCACAGGCAGGCGCAAGCAGGGAGGGGGCCGGTGGGGTGCCGGGGGCCGTGAGGCCAGAAGCTCAGGACCTCTGTGCCTCCGCCCCCGGCCAGAGCCCAGAGCACGCTGGAGAGCCGAGGCTCGGGGCAGGTGGGGAGCCCCCTTCCCCCTCTCCGGGCCTGGCCCTGAAGGCCTGGGGCCACTGCTGCCCTCCCGGCCTCCTGGCCGTGCAGGCTGGCTGACCCCGGCCCGGAGGTGGCAGCGGGAATGCCAGGAGCCTGAGGCCAAGCAGCACCCTGGGGGCAGCTGCTGGCGCCCTGCGCACGGCCTGCCCTGGGGTGGGGGGGTTGGAGCCAGCACCCCGCGGAAGATGGGAGGGTGTGCCTGCCACAGCCCCCCAGGCCTGGAGCCGGCCCCTGGCCACGTGGACGGAGTTGAGCAGCAGACAGACAGATGGACAGATGGGTGGACGGGCATGGAGGGTGTGGGAGGGCAGGCTGGGGGCAGGCAGCCAGAGTCGGGTCCCTAGTCCCGGAGGCAAGAGGAATGGGTAGAAACGGGGCGACCACTCCCTTCTGGGGCGCTGTGCGCACTGCCCAGGTGGGCCGCCAGGGGCACCTCAACTCCACTTCCTAACCCTGATCCCCACCTGAGCCCAGAGCCACGGGCCCTTCCCTTGGCACCAGCCGTGGCCGGGAGGGCCTGTGCGGACGGCCCCGACCCCTCCGGTGGACGGAGGGCTGGAGTCCACCCTGACCCCAGGCCAGAGCTTGCAGGCGGGACCCTGGCTGGGGCCGGGAAGGCCAGGCTGCGGGGCGTTGGCGTCCACTGGGGATGTGGCAGGGCCTGGGCGGGGGCAGTGGCCAGAGCCACGCGAGCGGTGGGCGTGGCAGGCGGAGTGCAGGTGAGCGGGGAGTCTTACCACATTTGGAAAGCCGCCCCGTCATCATTTCCATACAGTTAGTGGTGTCTGGAGCACAGAACGGAGAGAGGGGAGAGAGTGAAAAGGCGGCTCCTCGACCTGGCTGGATGCTGCCCCGGCCCAGCAGGCCCCAAAGGGATCGAGCTAGAAGGGGGCGGGCCCAGAGGAGGGGTGGGGCCTGCATGAGGTGGGGCTCAGAGTGGGGCGGGAAGAGGCAGAGCCATCTGGACAGCGGAGGGTCCCCAGGCAGCCAGAGCCTGGAGACTGGATGTGGGGGTTGCCCCAGGTCTGCCAGCCCCGCCCACCTCCCCTGGCCGCCTGCACCCTCACTCTGCCACTCAGCAGCACTGGGCTGGTGGCTTCCAGTCAACTAGGCTCATCTGGGCACCCCCTTTTCTTAGCCCTGTCCCATCCTCTGTTGGGCCTGGGGACCTCGATGCTGGCAGGAGGCCAGGGCCCTGGGGTGGGGGCTGTTCCCTCAACACCCTCCCATGTCCACCCAGCCTGCTCTTGGCCTCAGCCTCCCCTCCCTGGACCAACTGGGGGTCCCCACCATGATGGCCACCAGGTCCCTTGGAGGACGGGCAGTGCCTGAGGGGCACCCCTCCTGCAGGGGCTCAGAGCTGAGCTTGCCTGACAACAGCGTCCCTCATGGGAGGGAGATGACGGCGGGACAGGCTGGGGTCCCAGGCTGGGCTCCCCATGTCCAAGGGGAGACGGATAAGGCCCAGAGTAGGCACCCAAGAGTTGGGCAGGGCTGGAACGGGGGCCCCGCAGGAGGACACGTCCGCCTCCCTTACTGTGGTGCGGGGGCTGGGCAGGGGGTACAGGCTGACGGAAAGAGCCATGCCTCGGGGCGCAGGGCTCGGGGTTGAGCCTACCACCCGGCCGGGAGCAGAGAGACCATGGAGCCCGGCGGTCGCTGCAGGTATGGGGACCCCGCAGCACACCCAGGCCTGGATCTTTGCCTATGTCTCTAAACAATCCCTGTCGTTCTCTGGCCTTAGTTTCCCTCCCTAAGATGGAGGTCTTATTTCCCAAGAGCTCGAGGAGCCAGAGGCTGCTTCAGGCTGACAGCGCAGCCTCCAGCGTAGGACAAGGCCCACACGCCCTGCTGCCCGGGAACCTGCCCTGCGCCCTGCCCACCGCACCAGCCCCCTGGGGCCTGGGTTAGGGCCAAGGCTGTTGGGAGCTCAGCCTCCACCCACCCATGGGTGGTAAATGTTCAGGGGGTTCGTCCACAGATGATGGGATGAGGGTGGGATGAGGATGGTGGGGTGGACGGGTGGGGCCAGCTCCGGCCTCCAGGACCCCACACAGAAGCACAGGTGGTGACCCTAACAGGCCACCCGGCTATGGGGAAGACAGGCTGGGCAAAGGGCCCACTAAGGGCCCAGCCACGGTGGAGGTGGGTGTAGGTTAGGGTTAGCGTGACTCGCAGCAACCCTGCGCAGCGCTGCCGCGCCGCCACTCAGACGCACACCCATGCAGGTGCCCCGGCCCTCCGCCCTGCCCGCCACTCGTGGGCCCAGGGGGGCCCTCCCTGCCAGACGCTGGGTGGCACAGACCCTCGGGCCCTCAGGGCTCTAGGCCCAGACAGTCCCTCCCCCGCCTTGGCTGGGCCTCAGGCCCCTCTGCCGGTCGAGGCTGGGCTCCAGGCAGTCAGGAAACGCAGGGAGCTGGGGGCTACAGCACAGCGGGCAGCCCGTGGCCCTTGGGAGGTGCTGTGGTGGGGGTGCCCAGGTGGCAGGGCCTGGGCAGGCCGCCCCTGTGTCCGGCTTGCCTGTCCTGGGACCCAGGTGGGCGTCGGGTGCCCTTCGCAGGACCTGCCCGCAGCCCCTCCCCGCCCCGGCGGCAGGCCGGACGCCTTACCTGCCAGCGTCAGAGGCTACTCTCGTAGCTGGTGGCCACCTTCTGGCCCTTAAGCCCAGCTCCCCAGCTTAGTCCTGGCGCTGGCGGGGGAGGTTCTACAGTGGACAAGAGGCGCCTTTCAGTGCGGTGCGGCTGGGCCCTATGTCCCTGGTGTGCAGAGGCGGGGAGGGCCCTGCTCCCTGAGCGGTGCAGCCACAGCTCGGGCGGGGGCGTCCTGCCGCGGGGCCGGGGCTGCGCCCAGGCCATCACGCCTCCCGTCCGCACAGCCCTAGCACCAGACGAGCTGAGCCCCTCACCTGCCAGGTGCTGGGCCGCCGGCTGGTCATGTGTGCTCAGCAGCTGGGCCTGGATGGTCTCCACCACCCTCTTGAAGCGGCGGCTCGGGCCTGGGGGAGACAGACAGTTACATCCCCAGGCAGGGCTGGGCCCGAGGCCGCCCCTGGGCCACCGGCTCACCTGAGAGCAGGGTGAAGGTGACAGAGTAGATGCCGTTCTCCTTCTGGGCCTCCCCACCCTCGGTGTAGGTGATATCCACCTGGAACTTGACGGGCTTCTGGAACACGGCCGGGCCGCCCGTTGCCTTGTACTCAGCCCGGAAGCTGGTCTGGGAGATGACACTGTGGCCGAGGCTGGGGATCTGCAGAGGGCGGCGGGGCGGAGTAAGCGAGGCCGCCTCACGGCCCTGTGAGCTGGCGCAGCGCGGCTGGAGACGCAGGGAGCGCACCCAGCCCGACCCTCCAGAGCCGCCACCACCCAGGAGGACGCGCAGAGCCACCAGGCTGGGGGTCTCCCCGGCAGACAGAACGCGAGGAGGGCCGAAGGGGAGACGGTAGGGATTCTCCAGAGAGCTCGGAGGCGGGAGAAGGGCAAGGTGACCCTGCACCAAGGGGCTTGGGGGGCCGCCACTGAGGCAGGAGAGACGCGAGGGGCCGGGATCCCCGGCTTCCTGCCATGTGGGGACAGCACCCTCCTGCCCACGCACACAGGAGCTGGGGTTGCCTGCTGTGTGCGGATCCACAGGGACGCCGGGGCACCCCAGGGGACCAATGTCCAGTGGAGCGTGGCCAGCCCCGTGCTGGAGAAGCTGCCACGGGAGTCACGGCCTGCTCTTGCCGAGTGCGCAGCAGCCTGCCACCCGCGGGGGCCTATCCTGGGGCCGGGTGACTCCCTCCAGCCAGGCACCAGCACATGGCAGCCCTGGGGGGCTGGGCTGGGGGCTTCAGCAACGCAGCCCAGCATGGGGTCCCCGCATCCCTTCTGCTCCTCGTAACCGAAGATCCCAGCAAAGCCAGACGAAGCCCACCCGGGACGTGGACGGCCACTGGCTCGCGGGCAGGGCGAGGCCAGCGCAGCTTGGTGGTGAAGACGGGACAAGGAGACAGAGACCCAGGGCCAGGGTGTCCACCTAGGGGCAGCAGACGCCGCAGGGCTCCTGGGGGTCACAGCCGTGCCTTTGCCATCGCCCCTCCCCCAGGGCTGTGTGGCAGCCTGTGTGTCACCCCTCCGAGGCCTGCGCGGGGCTGGCCGTGGGGCTCACCGACAGGAAGGCGTGCACGATGTCGGCCTTGATGGAGCTCAGCGGCTTGTCCTTGATGACCACGAAGATCTGCTCCTCCTTCTCCAGGTTGATGAAGTTGCCGAACCAGGACTTCTTGGCCAGCCTGGGCGGGGGACCGAGGCTGCCGTGAGCAGGGTGTGGTGCCTGGTCCACCCCAGACGCGTTACCACTGACCCATGCCCTAACCCTGACGGCCAGCGCCCTGACCCTGCCCCAGACACCCCAAACCCACTCCAAGTGCCCTGACCCTACCCCAAACACCCCAAATGCCTTCCTCCTACCCTAAACACCCCAAACCCGCTCCAAGTGCCCTAACCCTACCCCAAAAGCCTTAACCACTCTAAACCTAATGCCCTGACTCAAACCCAAACGCACTAACCCAGACCCCTTGCCCTAGCAGAAGCCCTGGCCCTGACTCAAACACCTTAAGCCCAAACCCCAAACCCAAACCCCAGGCCCCAACCCTGATCTTGCCTCTTAAGCAGGTCCCAGGGCCCTGACCAGTCCCCAGAGCTGGAAGCCCAGCTGGAAGGGGCGTGGGAGTGGGGTGCCCTGACCCTGCTGCTCTGCCCAAGTGGCCGAGTCTGGGACCGTCAGCTCTGCACAGTCCTGCAGCGTCCGGGCACAGGGGCCCCCACTGGTGCTGGGGGAGCTGGGGGGCCGCACAAGAGCAGGCGCTGATGGCATGAAGCAGGCCCTGCGTGCCCCTCCCACTCTGAGGAGCATCCTCAGCTGCCTGGGGGCACATTCCTGTCCTGAGATGGGTGGCTGCCCGTGTCCCTTTTGCTCTGGCCTGGCGTGGCCAGTCCCCACTCTAGAACAGACCTCCAGGGCTGCGGGGGAAGGGCCTACCCAGAGCTCGCCATGGCCACCTGGCCCTCAGCTCCCAGAGGCTGCCGTGAGGGGCCGCCCCCATCCGCGGCTGGTGCAGTGCTGCAAACCTGCCTGTGGGACTCGCCCGACCGTGGCGTCCCTCCCAGGGAGCCAGCCTCAGCGTCCATGCGGGCAGGCGCTGGCACACACAGCCGCCGCGCCACCCCAGCCCTGCCTGCACCTCGCTCTCCGTGAGCCTTCCCTCCAGCCGGCCACCCGCTCCTACGTCTGGGGGCACCGGCGTCCTGGAGCCCCCTCCCACAGGGCGAGACCTGCGACTCGCTTCCCGCCAGGACAACCTGGGAACGTGAGGGACGCCCCTGCCCGGTGAGGCCGCACGGCCGCTCCCCAGCGGTGTGACACGGAGGCCTCTGCCCAGCAGCCTGCGAGGACCCGAATCCCAGCCGCAGCCACGGCAGCTTGGAGGTGGGTCCCGTCCAGCCTCGAGAGGCACGGCCCAGTGACATGCTGCCTGCAGCCCCGTGTGCCGTAGAGCGCAGCGCCCCATGGAGCCGCGGAAGCTGTGGGACGGCAAGTATGCGCCGTTCAAGCCGCCGAGCTCTGGACGGTTTGTCATGTGGCAGCAGCTGACTATACAGCCGGGCAGGCTTTCCACCGCCTCCCTTGCAGCTACAGCACGGACATGTGACCCAGGCTCCACCAATCAGACGAGGGGGGGCAGGGCCGCAAAGAGGCAAGACCCAGAGGAGGGGCTGCACAGCAGCATCGGCGTCGGGGGCCATGCTGGCGCTCGGCCATCTTTGCCTTCCTGACATCCTGCCGCGCTCCAGCCGGCACCTGCCCCGGTCTCGCCCCAGACCCACGCCAAGGCCTGGAGTCCAGGCGGTGCTCGAGGGACGTTTGATGGCCGCGTGCGGGGTGGCCAGGCAGTTCCGGAAACCACATCTGGGCTCTGCATGCTCCTCCCTTGGCGAAGACAATGAAGGAAACCGATAAAAACCGGACTTTGCTCTTTGGGACCCGGTGGTGTGGCATTTGGCAAAAACGGTCCCGTGTCTGAGAGAGGCCCGGCGGGGGGGGGCCTGTGCTGTCGACTCCGGGGTCCATGGTGGGGACGCCTGGATCAGACGGAGCAGGCGCCTCCACGGTGGGCGGCCACGTCCAGCCAGCTGCAGGCCTCACAAGACCGAGGGTTCCCAGAGAAGAACGAACTTTCCTCGAGACAGTAACGGGGGGCTGCCTGAGCCCCGGCCTGCGGTTCCGGACTGGGGAGGACATCAGCCGGCGCCCGGCTTCCAGCCCCGCGAGCCGGACCCTGAGGATAAATGCCCGACGCAGGTGCAGGCGCCTGCCGCTGCTTCTCTGCAGAGCCCGGGCGGACGCAGGGCCGGCGGCAGGGGCACCAGGCCCCAGTGGCGCGTGCTCGGCCCGGAGGGCTGTTGCAGGTGAACTGCCGGACGCTAGGAGGGGCCGCGCCCCAGAGCACACCGGGGCGGGGGGTGGCGGGTGCAGGCCACTGAGCAGGTGCCAAGCTACTGAGCTTTTCCCCAACTTTTCTGAAAAATACAATTACGTTCACGAAAGCTCTTGACTCTAGTGGAAATGGCAACTTCAGGCCTGACCAGGGCACAGAAGCGTCCCCTGAACCTGGTACCTCGGGGCCACAAAGCACAGCGGCCCCATCTGGGCACCCAGCGGGAAGGTGGCCCTGCTGGCCCAGGAGGTCCGACTCGGGCAGGGTCCCGGGCCCGACCGCAGACCTGCTCCAGGCGAGTTCAGCACCGAGCGGGGGTTTCCCACAGCGACCTTGTTTAGGGCCAAAGGCAGGAGGAGGGTCTCTCGCCCGACGGCTGTTTCCGAGGTCATCTGCTCGAGGCCATCTGCTCGAGGCCCCCACGGCCCTGTCCTGGCTGCTGCTCTCTGTGGCTGCCCTGCACGGGCTCACCCTGCGTGTTCACGCATGTGCGCTGCCAGCCACCGACACACTGCCCCGTGACAAAGGCTGTCGTGGAGAGCCTGGGTGCCAGGGAGGGTTCTCTCCAGGGCCAGACAGCTGGGAAGGCAGCTGCCACGGGGCCACCTCCGTGTCTGCTGGGTCTTGCACATTGGTGAGCGGAGGGCTCGGAACGGCTCCTGCCTGGCCCACCCTGCCCTGTGCCCACTCCCGGCTCCGTTGCACCTGGACTCCGGCGAGGCCACCCCGCGCCGCACACGTGTTCCCGCCAGGCCCCCGTCCCACGACCGGCCTAGGCTGTTTCTTCCTTGGGACCTGACTGTCCCTATAAGCCCCATCTCTGCTCTTGGGGAGCCCAGGCCTCTGGGAGCTCTGCCCAGTGCACCCCTTACTCCCCAAGGCTGTGCCTTCCAAACAGAGCTATGCCCCTCCGCTGCCTCCCCCGACCCCGCCACACTCAGGGCTGTGGACACTCGGCCCAAGACAGGCCCCACCTGTGGCAGGAAGTGGAGGGGAGGCGCCCAGGAGGTCCCCATACCCTCCCCCGGTGGCCTGGGCCCAGGCATCAGGCTGAGCAGGAGCCACTTACTCTGGGGACGACTCCGGGGTCAGGTTGGACATCTCCTCCGGCGTCGGAACTGCACGAGGGAGGGGCGGGAAGGAAGGCTTGGTGGGTGCGCCGCACCCCGCCCCTTGCCGTCCCCACCCCAGCCGCCCCGCACTGAGCCAGGGCTTGGGGAGTCCGCCCAGCTCCTGGCCAACCAAGAGGCTGCAGGGCCCAGGGCCACGGGAGCCTCGGGTGCTCAGGTCAGGCCGCGCGTGGGGGGCAGGCGGCCCAGGGCCCACACGGTGGCAGCTCCTCAGCACGTGGGCCTGGCCCGAGACACACGTGGCGGGCAGGCTCAGGGACAGGCAAACACGCAGAGGTGCTGCCGGGGCTCCTGGTAGAACGCGCTGTCCAGGGCCGAGGGGCGGACTGGGACCTGGGCGCTGCGTGCACCACGGCGGCCGACCCTGCGGAGTCTGGTACCACCAGCAGCCCCTCCCCCACAGCCTCCTCCCCTCCCCCCTGCCAGGCCCTGGCGACTACCGGGCGGGGCTCACCTTGCAGTTTCCGTCGGTGGAAACGGGGTGAACCCAGGAAGCTGTTCTTGATGGAGTTGAGCCGCGTCCTCCAGGGCACCCCTCCGACGCTGGGGCTGGATGGCGGCGTGGGGTTGGGTGTGCCGGCTGGGCTCTCCTTTGGCGTGTGGACGGGCGTCCCCTTGGGGGTAGGGAGGGGACTGCCCCTCGGTGAGGGGTGAGGGGTCACCTGTATGGTGGGGACAGATTTGGTGTTTGGTTCAGCCCCGGTGGGCGGGAGCCGGGCGGGGCCCGGGCACAGGGCCAGCTGGGGGCCCAGGCCGGTGGCGGGAGCCCGCGCCTGGGTGCCGGCTGGGAGTGGGGTGGACTTGGTGCCCTGCAGAGGCTTGTCGGTCAGCTTGCCCTTGCACGGCAAGGTCTGGGTCTTGGGGTCGGGCCTCGGGGTGGCCTGCGGAGGGAGGACGTGTCCGGCCCGCGAGGTGCTCCGACAGGCTTCGGGCTCCGTGGAGGTGGCCGGGGGGCAGGCCAGAGAGGCCGGCACGGGGGCTGGGGGGGGCAGGATGAACTTTCTAATAGGCTACGGGAGATGCAGGCAGCAAGCGGTGGGGGTGAGAACCCGCGCCCCGCCCGCCCCGCATGCACACACGGCGCCCGCCCGGAGGACCAGAGAGACATTCGAGCGGGAACCGAGACCGGCCGACAGGGGAGGCAGCAGGCGTGGCGGGGGAGGGTTTGCCAAAAGGAAAACAAGTGACGGACGAGAAAACAAAAAGAAAACAAAACAAAGAACGTGCAGTTAGCAAGAGCAGCCCAAGCCCCGCGCCTGTGCACACGGGTGGGGACAGCTTCGCGGGCGGGGCCCCGGCAGCCTGCCCCCCACCCTGGCACACTCGGACAGACGAGGGATGCAGCCCGTGGCCTGGGACCAGCGGGGACTCACCCGGGGGCTGCTGAGTGGGCTCGTGGACAGGCCTGAGGAGGCGCCGCTGATGGATCGCGACCTAGGACACAGCGCAGGGCCGGGACTCGGTGGGGGCCGAGGCTGGCTTTCCCCGAGGGCCCCTCCAAGAGGCCTGGAGCTCACCAGGCCCTGCCCCGAGGGAGGGGCCCTGATGCCTGCGTGTCTGGGGCTGTCCGCCAGAGCCCGGCGGGCCCGACCCGGGCCTCCCCAGCACACCACAGGGGCGGCACTGGGGCCTTCGGCAAGGCAGAGGGACGAGGGGACAAGGCGGGACTTCCTGCGGCTCCAGCCCCTGCTGCTCCAGGCCCTACGCTGGGCCCTGCTACCCAAGCCTGGCCAGCCTCCGAGCTGGGCTGTCACCACGTGGGCCACCAGCTGGGCCTAGCCAGCCCTCCACGCCCACAGCTACCCATGAGAGACGCCGGGGCCAGCCCTCGGCCTGCCTGAGCCTGCGCCTTGAGGCACAGGCAGGGCCGATGGGGCCTCCTCCCCACCACCCCCTTGGCGGGAGACCTGGCCTGGCCCAGCGGGAGGGAGGCGCTGGCCCGGCGCACCCAGCAGAGACGCAGGCCCGCAGCTGCCCCCTGGCAGGGCCAGGGCTGGCAGCTCCACCGGACCCCAGAGACCAGGCGCCTGCCCGCTTGGCCCCAGGCAGTGGCACCTGCCACCCTTTGAGGAAGGACACAGAGGGGAAGAGACCAAAGGAGCACAGGAATGAAGACGACAGAGAGAGTAAAAGACCACCCAGGCCTGCCCCGCTAGCCAGCAGCCTGGAGCGCTCCACGGTGACACCCTTCTGGCCCCCGACCTGACAGCCAAGGGGCTGGAGGCGGCGGTGACCCCACACCCGGCTGAGCCTGCCTGGGCCAGGACGGCCCCAGGGCCAGGGCTGGGCCCAAAGCTTTCGGGAGCTGAGCGGGGAAACCAGCTGGGAGCTTGTCACTGGGCATCAGAGAAGCAGAAAAGAAGTAGCTGGAGGACCGGGTGGGGAGGCACGTCTGGCCAGGCGGCCCCGGGAACTCTGAGCTACCACTGCCAAGACAGGAAAGACGGTGCAAGCCCCGAGGGCAGCCGGGCAGGGAGGTGCACGGCAGGGACCAGGCCGGCCCGACGGCCGGTGGGCAGGCGGCAGCCCCAAGGAGCAGCGCCGCCTGCCTGGGCTGTCGCCTGGGAGGCCGGCCCTTGCAGAGGCTCCTCTGACCTTGGGCAGGGGAACGTGGGACGAGGGTTGGCCTGGCAAGGAGGTGTGGCATAGCGGTAGCCCGCAGCAGCTGTGGCTGTGGGGCCCGCACGTGGGCTGGCCGCCGGCCTCGCCAGCACCCCCCGTCGGCCCCTGGGGATCCTGACCCAGGCTCTGCCCCTGGCTCGCCGGACAGGTCCACTGCCCGGGGCATCTGCGAGCCAACCCCGCCACCAGACCCGCCTGTCTGCCCGCTCGAGGCAGGGACAGCGTCTAGGGCTGGGAGGTGCGGGGCGCGTGGTCAGGGTGTGTACCTGTCTTCTTTGCTGAATTGGGGGTGGGCCTCAGCGATATCCAGGCTTTTACTGAACACCGCTTTACTACAGCAGGAACAAAGCAAGAAAACAGAGTTACCGACGTGGCCACTCGGACACAGGCCACGGGCCCGGGCCACACCTGGCGAGAGCTCCAGGCAGGTCTGAGGCCAGTGCACAGACAGGAAGGGAGGAGGTTGGGCAGGGAGCTCTGCGGCCACAGCATACCCCACCCTGGGCTACCTGCGGGGCAGGTGGCCTGGCCTGGCCTGGCTGTGGGGGGTGCCCGGCCCCCACTGCCCCTCCACCCCAGCCAATGGCCCCGGGAGGTCCAGTGCCAAGCGGCTGGGGTCCCTGCTGACTACAGGTGTCAAGCCAGAAGTGGAACCGGGTTGGGCGTGCCAGGACAAATGGCCTTCCAGGATGGGCCACACCTGGACCTGCCCAGCACCCCGGACCGAGGCAGCTGGGCCTGGAGATTAGGAAGGAAGCGCGGAAGACGGCCTCCCGTGCCCGTCTGAGGCCAGGCAGCGGGTGGGGGTCTTGGACTCAGTCCTCGGCCTGCACTGCGGGGTCAGGGAGCCCACAGAGAGGCAGCCACGCAGCCAGGAAGCGGGCACCCAGGCCACCAGGAGGGGTCCTGCTGGGGCAACGTGTGCCCTGGACAAGCAAGGTGCCAGAGCGAGACCAGGGTGGCAAAGTGTGCCAGCAGCCCAGGGCAGTGGCCCTGACGGGCTGGAGAACTGGAAGGAGGTCCTGCAGGGACCCCACATTGGAGGCTGGGCCAGCCCGGACCCCAGGGAGGACCCGGGACTACCAGGGGACTGTGGTCTGCAAGCTATGAGCTGGGGCCACCAGCACCAGGATCAGGGTTGGAGACACAGCTGTTTATCCTCACGGCCCACCAACTGCCTTGGGGTTTCCCCACGGTTCCTGGCAAATTCCTCAGGAGCATGCCTGCTCTGCTGTGGCACCCAAGCCCCGCTCTGGGAGCGGGGGGAGGGCTGCCCAAAGGTGGCCAAGCCTACTGGGACACATGGGTGGTGGCCACAGGCCCCAAGGCTGGCCCCAGACTACGGGGAAGGTGGAGGCTTGCCCTGGAGGGGCTGCACCGGCTAGAGATCTGCTGAGAACCCCGTGCAGCCCAGCCCTGCCCAGCCCTACGCTGCCCTGGCCGCGGAGGTTCTGCAGAGCCTGGGAGCCTCCATCCGTCCAGAGAACAAGTTGGGCAGCCCAGACCTGCTCACAAACCCCAGATTCCACTTCTTGGCCCCCACACACCGCCATTGGCCACCCAGAGCTGAGCCCATCAGGTGGGGACCGACTCCCAGGGTGGTGGCTTTAGATCACATTGCAGCTCAGCCAAGCAAAGCTCAAATCAGGTCAGCCCAGTTCAGCTCAGCCCCGCCCAGCTCAGCTCCGCCCAGCTAAGCTCAGCTCCGCCCCGCCCAGCTCAGCTCCGCCCCGCCCCGCCCAGCTCAGCTCCGCCCAGCTCAGCCCCGCCCAGCTCAGCCCCGCCCAGCTCAGCCCCGCCCCGCCCAGCTCCGCTCCGCCCAGCCCCGCCCCGCCCAGCTCCATCCAGCTCAACACAGCCCACCTGAGCCCAGTTCAGCCCAGCCTGGCCGGGTCCAGCCCAGCCCTCGCCAGCCCAGCTGCACCCAGCTCAACCCAACCCAGCCCCGCCCTGCCACACCCAGTTCAGCTCAGCCCGGCCCAACCCAGTTCAGCCCAGCCGCGCGCAACTCAGCCCCGCCCCTCCCCCACGCCCCCGCGCAGGGCCCGGCCCACATCCCAGGCGGCGACGCTGCCCCGGCGGGGCCCAGGGAGGCAAGCGCGGGGCGCACGCACCTCTGGCTGTGCTGGGCCATCTCGATGGCCCGGCGCGCGGGCACCGGGGAGCCGCCGTCCGTCACGCTGAGCACCTCCATGGACTTGCGCTCGGGCCGCCGCTTGCCGTGCCGGTTCAGCATCGGGGAGTCCACGCGCTTCCGCGGAGGGTCTGCGCACAGACGGGGCTCAGCCGGGGCGCGGGCCCGCGCGGCGCGGGGCGGGGCTCCCGGGCGTACCTATCTCGTTCCGCGGGGGCAGGTCCTCGTCCTCCTGGCTGGGGTACCTTTCTTTCCGGTCCAGGAGGAGGAAGTAGATCATCTTCTCCTGGTTCTCCCTGCGGGGCGACATGCGAGGCGCTGGCACGTGCGCCCTCCCGCGCGCGCCGCCCACGCCCGCCCGGCCTCGGCCCACGCACTCCTCCGACAGCAGGTCCTGCAGCAGCTTGTTGCGGTCGCGGAAGCAGCCCAGCGAGTGCATGCTGTCCAGCACGTCCGGGTCGATGTCCTCCAGGCTGGGCAGCGAGCGGATCTGCACCTTGCGGGGCGCGGGCTGCTCCGGCTCCGGCTCGTTCTTGCCCCCTCTGTGGACACAGGCCGGGCCGCGTCACTCACCTGCGGTGGGCCCGAGGCTCCTCCCCCCAGGCGGCCAGGAGGGTGGGAGGCCTGCCCGCACCTGGCACACCTGGCCCCAGTCCTGCGCTCGCCCTGCACCGGCCCTGCGGGCCTCCTGCGTCCTGCCCGCACCCCGCACCCGCGCCAGGGCGGCCGAGGCGGGGGCAGGGCCTGCGCTGGCGGCGCCCTCCCCCCGCCGTCCCTAGCAGGGCCTCCAGGCCACAGCGACAGGCAAAGCAGGCGATTAGTGGGTGAAAAGCTACTTACATATACCATATGTGTTTCTGAATGTGCTCTAGCTACAAGGAAAGAGAAACAGGGAGTTAGTACGGAGGAGACAGAGCCCGCATTAGGAGGCGACGGAGGGGTGCGGCGGACAGAGCAGAGGGGAGGGCAGAGGAGGGGTGGGCGGCAGGGGGGCTGCGTCCCAGACCAGGCCATCGCCCTGCCCGCTCCTCAGGAGGAGATGCGGGTCTGGGGAGGAGGGAAGTCAGGAGGGGGTTCCAGGCAGGGCAGGGGCCTGGGTTAGGAGGAAGAGGCAAGGCAGGAAGCGGTGGCCCCTGGTGGCCCGGCTCCAGGCAGGACCCGAGGCGGGAAGCAGGGAAGCAGCCGGCCCACCTGTGCGGCGGGGGCAGGGCTGGGTGCAGGTGCGAGCAGGAGGCTGGGAGCGCTGCCGGCTACGTGGCCCCTTCTCCCCCCGCCCCCGACTGGGCGCAGCTCACAGGGTGGGAGGCCACTGCTGTCCTGCCGGGCACGTGCCGTCCTGACACTGGGCAGCCCTGGAGGAGGCCGGGCGGAGCGGCTGCGGCTCCCCTTAGCCCCCCGCCCACCCCTACAGCTGATGCTGCCTCTCAGGGGGCCACGCACACTGCGTGAGCCCGTGCCCCCCAGAGCGCCGCAGGCAGGATGGCGGTAATGGGGGATCCCCGTTGCCATAGCACACGTATGGGCACAGGCCTGTCACCCACCTGGGCGCCACTCCCACACCCATGTCCACTCAGGCTGATGCGTACACCCACGCACACCTGGCACAAGGTCGCACACGCCTGTACATACACACCTGTGCACGCTCTCCCACAGACCTAAGTACACACACCTGGCAATGCCCCACACATCTGTACACACGACCT